CACCTTAAATACTCATAGGCATACTATCAACAACACTCAGTTCACATAAAATAGACCAGATAGACCATGATTTCCAAGAAAAATCAATTGCTGAGTTACATACAGATGAAGAGCAATGTGATTGTGTAACGCCCGAAATAACCCAACACAAAATAGGTACATTAACCAACATCCATTAAGGAATAATAGTAAAACTCTAACCTTTACACCATTAATCAATAAGGTTTGTACAAAAGTCCCATATGCAAATTATGTATTCAATGGTATAAAAATACATGAATCTATAGCATATAGAACATCAAATCCCAAAAACAATAAAATGCCCTCATGGGCTTACAATTTCCAAGGCTTAAGCCCGGTTACACAAAATGGCTCACGAACCCATACATTTATAGCCCTTGGCTAGCAAAATAAATCACAACAAAAGAGAGTCATTTACTTTTCACAAAATGTGTCCACCCCCTCAACTCGGCGGGATCACAATATCTTTTCCTGCACCAAAATCCCATAGGGGTGAGCAATAAGTCCAGTAGAGAATCCTTAACAAAGTATATACAGTTATGCAAGATTTCCAATATTAAATGCAAATGCCATGCAATGCTAATTAAAAGATGATTTCATTTACATGCCTTTTTAAAAGTCACCATGTTCAACAAAAGCTTGAAATCTTAACAAATTCCGAAATTTACAATTTTATTCAATGGGGCAGTAAATACGACTCAGGTAATCCCTAGGTTGGTGTTTGCAAGTTGGCTTAACTAGTACTACCAAAAACCCCACTTTACCGGTTGCTAACCGGAAGGGAAGTGGTACCTCCTCCGGGCGTATTTTCTGTCACGCCCTAAACTCGCCCCTAAAAGTTTGGGCATGATCACTTCGGAAACGGACACTTAATTCGATATATATAACATACGGGGCCTGAATGGAAGCATTTGATAACATAAAATAATAGTAAATTAACATCCATAGAGCTCACACCTATATGCTAGGATCTCAAGGTGCCATTTAACAGTTCCTCGTATGATAGACAGATATACAAGAAGCAGATATTTGCATTCACACAATAAAATATATAGGCATACGTACAGAACCAGCCCCACATGTGGGCATACAGCAAAAATGTTGGTGAAGAAGATTATACACGACTAATTACATTAGACAAAAGATTAAGAACCAGACTAGGGGTCATTAGGGGAACCCCACAAAATGCTTAAGCTTCTTTACTTGCTGGACCAAAAAGGAGTGACCCAAGCTGAATTAAGACCGACCTCCAGGTTGATTGCCTACAGAAACAGACATAACACAGAGTGAGCGAAGCTCAGTGAAAAATAATACTTAAATGATTCAATGTATAAATCTGAATTATAATGTATACAGGTGCAGAAATCATATTCTGTAAATATTTTCAGAACGGCCTTCGGCCCATCAGACTTTACAGATTGACCTTAGGCCCAACAGATTTCACAGATTGGCCTTAGGCCCAGATATCAACAGAACAGACTAGTCTCAGAGTCATACAGATGTACACAGATTCTTCCAATCGTTTTCATAAGTTAACACAACTGACTTGCGATTAACAGAGTGCTAATAATATTCATTCGCGATAAGTAAAATGTACTACTACGGTACTATTACTTACAGTGCTGTGGTGGAGCGGCAGTTTCTTCCGGTATGTGCCCTACATACACACGCAGTTTAAGAATTTGTTCGTTTTTCTCGTTAAACATTATCCGATTCATTTCGCTTCGAATGAATTTACAATCATTCTAAGAGTATCAAATAATTATTTGAATAATATAAGAGGGTTAAACACGTAAAACGGAGTAGACAGGATTTCCAACATGGGCCGCACGTAAAATGGAGCAGACAGGATTTTCCAACATGGGCCACACATGCGGCTGTGAGCCCCGCACATGTGGCGATTCTGCCCTGTTTTGCAGTCCAAACTAAGACACAAATTCAACCAAGCCCACATATGGAAAAGTAAGAAAATAGGTACAATAATGTAAGTTTTAGGATATAATATTACCATAACATATTTCACAAACGCAATTTGATCCTTAACAACTTTAAATTCATAACCACAAGTTAATCACTTTGAGTTTCTATCCATTTTTAGTTCCTCAAATATGCAATCATCTAAGCACATACACAAATTCAAGCATGGAAAAGAAGGGAATAGAATGTAATTCATCTCTAAAAAGTTCAATTTAACTCAATGATCAAAATGATATAACAATTTTACAATTAATCAATCATTATTCACATGGCTTCATTTACAAACCGTAACCATATAAACACAAAGAAAACCTTATTCAAGACCAAATAAGGGATTGTTGTAGATGGTCAAACTTACCTTGAGCCCAAATCTTTACAACCCTCTCAATTTTCCCAATTTTTCTTCCTTGATGAACTTCTCCTCTTCCTCTCTAACTCTCCTCTTCTAACTCTCTCTCAGGAGATATTTTGAGTTAAAGATTATTAAGTCAAATGTTTAAGGAACTAAGTTTATATAAAAGTGAATAAAGATGAAAATCAATCAGTTTAATCATTCCAAATCAAATTTTTACAGAAAACCATATCATGATCTAAAAATCATGCTGATCTCAATTATAAAATCAATTTCAGATTATTAAGCCTCTAAGGCTTTCAATTTCTGATTCGAACATCACCACGGTAACATATATTTCTCTTATTAGACAGATAGGAATCTATACTCATAAGATTCACTCATTTTAACTTAATTTCTCAACAGGCTCATAAATGCTCAAAGTAAAGGACTAAAAGCATACCAGAAAACATGTACGACGGTCGGGTTATTACATTTTTGGTCTTTCACCCCAGACACTCAGGCCAACTTAAACAATTTCATCTACACCTTTTATCCGGACTTACCAACGTATTTACCCCATAAACATTTCCATGGTTTCATTTCACAATATTTCATTCTCAATGAAAGTTTCAAATCCCAATTCAATGTTCATGGCATGCAAGGTTTTAGAAGAGCCAATGCAACAATTATCTATACTACATCATGTTTCTCTACTTTCAACATAATTCCATTAAATGTTCCGTAAGTTCAAGACTTTCGTTTTCTCTTTTCAATGCCATTTCAACCAATGGCCAAAAGTTGCTATCATTTATCAAAATACAACCATAAACCCACAATTCATACGCTTCCATCATTTTAACCATTTCAAAACTATAGCAACTATTTGGACAACAACTTCCAACGTATTTACCCCATAAACATTTCCATGGTTTCATTTCACAATATTTCATTCTCAATGAAAGTTTCAAATCCCAATTCAATGTTCATGACATGCAAGGTTTTAGAAGAGCCAATGCAACAATTATCTATACTACATCATGTTTCTCTACTTTCAACATAATTCCAATAAATGTTCCATAAGTTCAAGACTTCCGTTTTCTCTTTTCAATGCCATTTCAACCAATGGCCAAAAGTTGCTATCATTTATCAAAATACAACCATAAACCCACAATTCATACACTTCCATCATTTTAACCATTTCAAAACTATAGCAACTATTTGGACAACAACTTCCAATCCTAACGATTCTCATGTGTTACGAAACTGCCATCAATATATATGCATTTGTATAAAAACAAGGAATCCTCCATTTTCTTTACTTATCATGACACACAGCAAAGTAAATACATATACATATATATAATATCAACCATGTACCCCCATCTTCTTTCATTTAAGAAAAACCCCAAACTTCTAGGTTTCTTCACACAAACAATATATTTCTTCATTGTCTTGACAAAATCCCACCAAAAACATCATTTCTATGCCAATGTGTTTCAACTACTCGAGAGAAAATCTTTTAATGAAACAAAAGATGAATTTCTTTAACAAGCCACCATTTCTTGAGTCAAAAACCAAAACCCTTAGAATATCTCTAAGAAGGTTTCAAAATCAACATCAATCTTGCATAAACAAGTATATATAACTCAAAGAAGTCCCTACCTTAAGCTTTGAAGGAGAAAAGAGATGAAACTTTAGAAATTGATGATGCCAAAATCCAATCTCCACTGTACACTATGTAGCTCTTGAGGAGCTCCTTAACTTTGATGAAGGAAATTGGATTGAAGATGCAATGGATCTAAGGAGATCAAGAGTTTGAAGAGTTTTGGTGTATGGAATGTAAAGAGAAGGGAGAGGAAATGATTTTTAGAGAGAGAGAGATGGGCTAAAAGTGATACACACACAGCCCTAAAGAGAAAAAAATCAGAGATTTCGGACTGCCCAGCGTCCCGCACGTGTGGCGCCCACTCCCGCACGTGCGGTGGCCCCTCCCCGCACCTCACTCCGCACCTGCCTTTTATGCAGTGTGCAAGCTGAAACAGACCCACATCCCCGCACGTGCGGCCCAAGGCCGCGCATGTGCGGCCCTGGTCCTCCAACCCAGAATTTTTCTTGTTCGATTCCAGACACTCCGGACTCGACCGTGCACCCTTCGAAACAAGTGACACTCAACTCAGAATAAACAAAGACCGGAATTTGAGAAAAAACTTTCGAACATAACAACCCAAAGAGGATAATAAGTGAAGCGACGTACAATGAAACCGGTCATCACAGATTGTGGGGCACCTAAGTAGCATGGGCACTTAAATATGTATGGACATAAAAGTCCTATCTCTTTTATCATAATTATAACTTTTGAGGTCATTCTAGATATTTGCATGACAAAAAAGTTATGTAACATCTTATTTAACCAAACATGTTTAACTTCTATAACAAATTATTAAAAGCTACACCAAACTGATTTACAATTTATTTAAAAAACAATTAAGCTTATAATCTTAAAAAAAAACTGTAATCATAAAAGTTAACTTATAAGTGATAACCAAACAGGCCCAAAATCAAATAGTGGAGCTACAAGTAAAACAATCCTGCTGTCAAAATTCTGTACATGGTACATCCCACTCAAACAAAAACTGAAACTTCTAGCAGGATCATCCATACCAAGGTGTTGATGAACCTTTGGATCAACAGCTTTCATTATTCCTGTAAGTGTACTCAACTGAGATTGCACCCCAATAGAATGTGCATTGGACCTGAAATTTTCTCTTTTTCAAACAAAAGCAGGGAAATGAGTCCTAAACCCAAGAAAAAGTCTGAAAGATGAAAAGCATTATGACTTACAGTTAAGAAATTAAGATGCAACTTTGAGAGGAAAAGCAACAAAATCAGGTAAGCCTGTCCTAAATAACAGGTTTGGTAAATGTGATATACTTGAGTAGTTAGGGTCTGTAGTAAAAAAAAACTAAAGAAGAACCTTCAAAGTGCCCTAATTACTGCATACATGTAAACCAACCACGACCTAGAAAAATGTGAGGCATTCCCCTAAGAGTTTGTCACCCACTTGGCCTGTTGACAAAAAGCTAGAAATCAGAGCTGAAGTTAACAATTCTACCCAACAAAACCTTAGTCCAACTAATTGCAGGCATGGCCTGATTTCGTTTGACCATTCTGCCCTATGGAGAAATAACTACTATTAGATAGCAGGATTTCTACACTCCAGGTGTTCAGGAACTAGCTATGCAATAATGCTGATATCCCAAAAATTGAAACTAAAAGGCAAAAAAAGTATACCTATCCCATTTGAATTCACTAAATACCAAACCCAACTAACTCAAGTAACTACTTTTCGCTAAAACAGATTAATTCTACATTCAAGAATAAAGGAGCAATTAAATAAAGTAGGCAGTTGGGTCACATTGTTAGTTTTAATAACAATGTCACCTTTGATAATGAAAATAGATGCATACCAATCTGTGCATTGCCCGCTCAAAACACCAAAAGGTGTCTGCTTCGTTTTCCATAAGAATAACCATTGGAGAGCAAATATCATTCATTCCTTTTCAAGGAAAAAAGTGTGAAAACCATTGAAAATACCTAAACACAAAACAGTTTCAGCATAACTGTCCTTGGATTCAGGAGAACTCACCTTGAACATATCCAATAGAATTATCAACCCAAGCATAAATAGCAAGAATGTTCCAAAGTTTTGTCTGATTGGCTTCACTCTCATAAAAGACGAGCACGATTGGTACGTATAACATCCAAACCTACATCCCATATTTCACCAGTCATGTTAAGAAGAATGGGAAGTCAATGAAAAGATTATTACCGACAATAAAATCACCCTAATAGAATATGCATTAGAATACTGGTGTTGAATTCATATGTAACAAGGACACTCCTAGTTTAGTATTTTGGCACCCATATGGCAATTCAATATGCCCAGAGGTATCCTTTCGACACTTCAAAAGATGCATCCACGTATCTATAAATTATTGACAAGTAGAAACTACTTAAGGGCAATGTTATCCACAATCCAATTTAGGATTACTTATAATAACTCTTTGCAGTGGTATTAAAGAAGCAAAAAAAAGTGGAGTGAACAGTGTAGTACCACAATAACAAAAAATAGAATAATTTTACTGAAGAATCAGTTTTGCACTTGTTACAAACCAATTTAATGCAAGCCAAGCTTCCACTGAGTCACTTTCTTATCTAAACCAATATTTTTCTGGGCATATGGAAATTTTCTGGCTGGGCATATTGAAATGGGTAATTTTTTCATATTGCTCGATCTGCTTTGATAGCAGGAAAAACTCGACTCAAATGAGCCAAATACTTCTGTTAGGCATCTCCAGCATACTCAAAATTTTACTTAAAAAAAAAGAAAAGAATTTACTCCCTAAACAAAGAATAAGAGAAAGTGAAGCTAGAAGCCAACCATTATCAAAAGGCTCACATAGAGTAAACAAAATTAAATAGGAATGCAAATAAGAAGCAAAATCTACCAAAATGAGAAGGAGAAAGGGAAAATCTACCAAAATCTATAAAACAAGTAAACTAAAACAAAAACAAAAAAACAAAAAAAACATAGCAGAACTCATAGAGTTGTTATCAAAACTTCAACAAGCGGAGAAGATGCGACGGCTATCAACAAGGCTACTAGCGACAGTGGCGACCAGCAAGGCTACTAGAGGTGACAGCGATGGCGATGGTGATGGCGATGGCGATCGGCTCAGTAGAAGAGCAAGAGATGAGTGCGACGTAGTGGAGGTGTAAGAGATGAGTGTGAGACGAACGTTGTATACGATGCGATGAGGGGTGGGTGTGTTAGGGTTTAGGAATTGGTTGTGTGTGTGAGAGAGTAGTAAAATAAATATTCACACGTATTTAAAATGTGTGATTAAAAAAAATATTGTCTCACTCATTAAATTAAGTGTGATTAAAAAATCATTTAGTTTTTTTAATCACACTTCGAATAAAAGTGAGATATTTTTAATTCTTCTTATGTGATTTTTAATCACATGTTAATTAGAAAGTGTGATTAAAAATATATATATACATAATCACACTTAATTAAAAAGTGATATAAAAAATAAATATTATCACACTTAATCAAATCAAGTGTAATTAAAATACCATTCTAATTTTTTTTATCACACTTCCAATAAAAGTGAGATATATTCATTTGTCAAAGTGTGATCTTTAACTGTTTTTATAGTAGTGGCCAAACACTCATTTATTGTGTGCGGATTTTGCATAGCAGCATTCCATGTACCAGTTGAAGATGATGCCTCCACAACATCAATAACGTGGTTAAATGTCTTATTCAACTCACCGACAGCCGATTGTTTTTTGTTCCCCTTTTGCTTCTTTGATGGACCCTCTTTTTGGCGATGACATTGGTTGCTTAATTCAGATGGATGGATTTCTGTATTAGTATCATCACCAAGTGGGGTGTGAGATCCCTCAGTGTCAAGAAACACTCTAGAGCTTGGGGTGTATGCCACTCACTAGTTGCAGAAATATCAGAGAATAGTTTGTCCATGTCATCGGCCAATGTCAATGGCTTCTCATGAAATTTGGCCACATCAGGATGCCTCTATAACAAAATATGGACAAATAATTACAAATATACAAATCACAAAGCTCAAGTACAAGTGAGCAAGGAAGAAAAAATTCAACATAATTCGCTGACCTGCAGCTTCAAATTCCACCAATCATCAGATGTCATGATAGCTCCAGTCAAGAGATCTAACCCCAGCCCAGTCTCACCTCTCAACAGATTTTTCCAAAGACCCCACTCCTTTTTTAAGGTATCCGAACGATTTTTAAGCTGAAGGAGAACATATGACTTTCCAGTTGTAATTTTGAATTTGTTAATAATTGCTTCCCAACCAACCCTATCTAAGTGCATACTAGGTCTGTGACCTTCTTTCACTTGCTCGACACAAAGTTTGACAAAACTTTCAGTGGATTTTGTGTCCCAATGTGCCTTTAAAACCTGTGAGGGTTGGGAGTTTTGGGAAGCTTTTCCCTTGCTCTTTGCAATTGTTGGAGATTGTGATGGTGGTTCGGTACTCATTTTCTATTAAACAGACCATAATAATAAAAACACTTGTAGTGTAACAATGGTTTGAACAAACCCTTACTCATATTATTAAAAACCATATCAACAAAAAAATAAAAAACAATCGGAACCAAGTTAATTTTACTTGGCCTTGTCCCATTTTGAAAACATTGGATATGAACAACATGAATTAATAAGAATATGTAAACAAAATAAACTTCAGAATAATAGTGAAAATAAAGGCACATAATCATTCCAACAAGTAAAGAAAATCATTATTGTCATATTCCTACACCTAAAAGCAATTGCATCAAGTATTTGCTCACTTTAATAGGCACTGTTTAAGTGTATATCAACTAATTTATAGTAAAATCGTGACCTAATTAAAAATACACAGTAATAACCTATTTGTGTTCTTGAGAGCATTATCTATTATCTTAGGCATCATACAAGTTCATCTAGTGATTGAGGGATCAAAGAAAAATTTGAATGTCAGATGGAAAATATATCTATATAATAAGGGAAGATGGTTTTTGAAAATGTATACAAATGTCTCAGGGATACATTTAATTTGGACGGCTGAGATGATTTGTTTTTATTCTTTAAAGGCTGAGATGCTTTGTGACATTTTCGCATTCCCGCCCAAAACAATCCCTCTCTCCCTCTCTCTGCAGCATCCCACCTACCCACGAAAAACCCAAACATTATTTGCACTTCTCTCTCTCTCTCTCTCTCTCTCCAACTTCTCAGATCTCTCTCTCTTCCTCTCCCTCCCCCTCCTTTCCATTGCCGCTCCGCTTCCGTCGTTGTGCCGCCTCTGAACTCCACCGACAACAACTCTTCATCTTTTCTCCCTCCCATATCGAACCCCACGTCTTTGAAACCCCAATGAATTTTCTTTGAATCTCATACATCTTCTCTTTCGATTTGTTTATCCATACCCTATGCAACCTCTCTAGGTTTTTAATTCCTCATTGCGATCCATACCCACTTTTCCTTTCTTTTTTCTCTCTCTCTCTAGCGATGTCTCTCTCTAAAATTTTGGTGGAGGAGTATCTTCTGGTTGGGTACCGATTTCGCCCTACTGACGAAGAACTCATCAATCACTATGTGAAGTTGAAGATCAACGGCGATGAGAAGCAAGTCAGTGTTATTCGAGAGATTGATGTTTGCAAATGTGAACCCTGGGATTTGCCTGGTAAAACTACCCACATAAAAAATTTAAAAAATTAAAATTTTGGGTTTTTTGCTTTGATTATTGATATATACTTGATTAAAAAGCCCTAATTTTGGGTTTGCTTTGATCTATTGTTACGCAGATAAATCGGCGAAAAAGACGACTGATGAAGAGTGGTTCTTTTTCTGTCCTAAAGATCGCAAGTATCAGAATGGGCACCGACAGCAACTCTTCATCTTTTCTCCCTCCCATATCGAACCCCACGTCTTTGAAACCCCACTGAATTTTCTTTGAATCTCATACATCTTCTCTTTCGATTTGTTTATCCATACCCTATGCAACCTCTCTAGGTTTTTAATTCCTCATTGCGATCCATACCCACTTTTCCTTTCTTTTTTCTCTCTCTCTCTAGCGATGTCTCTCTCTAAAATTTTGGTGGAGGAGTATCTTCTGGTTGGGTACCGATTTCGCCCTACTGACGAAGAACTCATCAATCACTATGTGAAGTTGAAGATCAACGGCGACGAGAAGCAAGTCAGTGTTATTCGAGAGATTGATGTCTGCAAATGCGAACCCTGGGATTTGCCTGGTAAAACTACCCACATAAAAAATTTAAAAAATTAAAATTTTGGGTTTTTTGCTTTGATTATTGATATATACTTGATTAAAAAGCCCGAATTTTGGGTTTGCTTTGATCTATTGTTATGCAGATAAATCGGCGATAAAGACGACTGATGAAGAGTGGTTCCTTTTTTGTCCTAAAGATCGCAAGTATCAGAATGGGCAGCAATTGAACAGAGCGACTCTGGCTGGGTACTGGTGATTTTTTCTCTCTATCTAATTTTTTGGCTTGCTAATCAAACAGCTTCTGTGAACTGGTTGTTGGCCTAGGTGTCTCAACCTGCTACGATGCCTCCGTCCTCCACCATCGAGTTAGCCACCATGTCTGGTTAAAATATACACCTTTTGATGAGTTAGCCACCATGTCTTCCCAAAGCAAACGTAGAGAATCCCCAATTTGATGAAACTGTAAATCTTCAATTTTTTTCTAACATTGTTGGCAACAGATGACGTCTATGGTCTCCAAATTTTGCATCATTTCTGTCACATACTATGCTGATTATGAACAAATAAATAAATAGTTAGCGAAAATAAAAATGTATTAACTTGGTCTCAATAGCATTCCTAGATAAGATGAAATAAAATAAATGTTGCCTTAATTCAAAAATTGGGAGAAGGGGGAAAAGAAAAACCAAAAAAAAAAATAAAAATGGTGTTGTCCATTGTCCACACCAAATGTCAACATAAATTGGTATGAATTGTAGAATTGTGAAGTGTAAAGATGAAAAATGAAAAATAAATTAATAAATAATGTTGGATGATGAACTGCATGTCATTCATTTGGTTCTTCTGACTATCGATGAATCTCACAGATACTTGGCTAACCAGGGTAGCTCCTTACTGTCTTTCAATGCAAAAGCCACATCATCGCTGCCACAAAACATGTTGCAAAAAAGATCAGAATACTTAATTCACTTTCTAATGCTACTATATTTTTGGTTCAGCTCAGATAGTAGTTAGCGATGTGATTTTAGTTGGGGCTTTTAACCAGAAGAAGATCATGTTATTAGATGGAAATAAAAATTGCAACTCATAGAATGAATGCACACCACTCAGATAAACAAATGCAAGTGAAGTGAACTATTAGAAATGAAAGCTGAAAAGGATGGCCTCAGATTGCTTACAAGAATTCATCCTAACATTTATAGTAAATGTACTTTGTAATTATTAGTGTCATTTTATCTGTTTGGTGCAGCTTATGGAGCTGCTTATAGCTTCTTTTGTCACATTGTTTAGTGCAACTTCTGTTTATAACTTAAGTTGGATGCGATAATAGCATAGCATTCCATTTTTGTCATATGGCATTTAGACATCATGTCTCCTATTAAAATAGAATTGCATGCAATCATGCGGAAGCAAACATGGGGTCATCACCAAAATGACTAAAAGATTATTTTGAAAGCTACAAATTAGCTGTGCTTTTAAAGTGGTAAGAAAGGAATCATATTTATCCCAAGTACCACCGAAGGCAAAAGATATCAAATATTAGAGAAGCAAACAGAACATAAATGGGTCTGTATAGTACATAAGGTATGTTACACTTGAATAAGCTTGTGCAAATCTTGATTCAGGATAAGTTAGACCATACAAACTCTCCTAAGATGTGCAAAAAATGATTTAACTGGGAAGACTGCAAGAAAATTTAGTTAAAATTTGAAGTATATTTCCACTATATTTTGCAAAAAAGGGATTGTAATCTTTTCAATTTATTACAGATATGCAGGGATAAGGATGCTAAACCTCAGAAATGGGAATTTGTAGCACCATTGAAAGAGTTAGTGAGTAGAATCTTCACAAAATTGATTTGTTTCAAAGGGCCCTGCTAGGATTCGTTCTTAGTTATTAAAATAAAATAAAAAATAAAAAGAAGAAGAAGAAGAAGAAGAAGAAGAAAAGTTTACATAGTTCTGGACAATATTAGACACCTTTATTGGATGTAGTCTAAGTATTGTAACATGCTTTTTGTGATTATGCAGTGAAGTTACATGAAAGAGACCATATATTACATTTAGCTACTAGCCTACTACAATTTGATGTAGAATGAATATTTTACTATATTATTAGTATTTTCTAACTTTCAGAGCATTTATATTGTAGAATGAATATTTTACTATATTTTTCGTTAAAATTTTAATTTATTGTTTTATTGTTTTTTTTTAATTGTTGGGTTTTGATTGTTGTGAAATAGTAAATCTCCAATTTTTTTTGTTCCATATAATTTATTATTTTTTTTATTTTTTTTAATTGTTGGGTTTTTTTTACAATTTATTTGTTATTATAATTTTTTTCATGATTTTGCTATTCAAATTTGGTACCGCTGTTCAATTTCATGATTCTACTATTTTACTATGAAGTTGAGGGTTTAGTTGAAGTGCTCTGTTTCTAAAATAAATGGCGTTTTTTAGGCTGTGTTGATTTGTAAATTATGGAGGAATTAATTTAGTTAGAGTTTGTTATTGAATTACCAAGCGAAGAGTTTGTTATTCTCTGTTTCTTTACTTTTTTTCATTACCAAGATGAGTTCAATTTGGTTGTTGATTTAGATTTTGTTATTTCTTTTTTTTCCGTTGGTGCGCTTTTTTATTTTTATTTTTTTGAAGTACATTAGTTAATGACAGGGTTTTTTTTTTTTTTTCCCCTTTGATTTGATGTCCAATTTTGAATTTAGGACTTATTTGTTCTATTTTTTTTATTTTTTATTTTAATACTAATACAATTTGTTATTGAAGTGATTAATTATTGAAGTGATGAACATGAGCATGGAGAGAAGCCTACAGATCACCACCACAGGTAGTGATGGTGTAGTTGGTGGTGGTGGTGGTTTGTTGGTGAAGAAGAGAGGGAGGCCAATAAAGTATGACTCAAATGGTAACTTGAGACTACCATCTATATCACCACCACCACCAGGTTTTTCTTTCTCACCTCCTTTTCCATCATTATTTACACAGTGCCTTCAAGCACGGGCATACCACCTGGTTCTGGTAACTGCCACCTGCTTGAGATGAATAGATGAGTTCATCAAATCAATCCTTTAAATCAACCTTTTCCCTTGCTACAATTCAAGACTTCCTTCATCAAACACATTGAAAACAGTAGGTATGGTTTAACTTGATTTTTATTTTTTTGAAGTACATTAGTTAGTGTTATTGCACATGGTTAAATCGGAATGGAAGTGTTTATTCATTCTCTTCATGGGCTTTAGGTTCATTGAAGCGTA